TTAATTTTATTGCCACAAATACTTCTCAACCGAATTAAATTGCCAAATATAAAATAGTTGTATTTCTACTGTTAATCGCTTTTAATAATTTATAATAGATATTTTGCATTTTATTAACTTATTTTTATTATATTTTTAACTAAAGAGTAATATTTCAAAAATTATCTAAGGTGGTAGTAATGTTTGATTTACTACTCCTAGTTTGAGTGCCTGCCAAGAAGTCAAGTTACAAGTACATGAAATTGAGGCAATTGCAAATAAAACCATTACTTTTTTATATATACTCGTACACTTTTTGCCATTGAAGTTAATTTTTTTTCCTTGTGGTTGAATAAATCCTATGAGTTAACATTATAATCTACCAACGAACCAACCTGCCTGCCTACTTAACTGCCAAACTACCTACCTACCTACCAAAAAATATATTTGCTGCTGAGTACACAAAGCAGGCAACCATAAGCAGGAACGGAACGATGAAAAAATTGAAGCCATCAAAAACGAGTTTTATTTGTCTTTATGCTCGCTTCACTTGCTTCAGAATACATGTTGTACCAGACTTCCAAAGCGGGAAGTGTGGGTTAACTGGATTTCCTAATGAGCAAGCATAGCGACAGTTTCTTTAGATTTTTGGTTTGGTTTGGTTTGGTTTGGTTAGGTTTGTTTAGGTTTGGCTTGTATAATTTTTGCGTGCAAAATATAAGTGAAATTATGCCGGCTCAGGCTCCAAAGTATGACACTCATCCACAAATGTACTCACAGTTTAAGTGTATAAATATATCATTATGTATAATGTATATGTTAACATTTGTATCTTTAACAATTGAAATATCTTTTATAACTCATTGTTTTGCATTCTAGTATAAAATGGCCAAATTTGACGCTTCTTCAAATTATTAAAAAGAATTTTTAATGACTGCCGTCGCATGCCTCAGGCAAAATTTCTTTCAGTGCATAAGCAAAAATATGAATATATTATAGATATATATACATATATGTACAAATGTATATCGTACATATGGAAAAGATAAAAATTGTATTTTTATCAACTTGAAAGTCATCTTCTCGAATGCATTTGTTCGTTCGTGTATATTTTTATATATCTTGTACGTAATTTATAAATTTAAAAATTTCTTTTAACATTTTAATGTTTCCTCAAGAGTAAAATTATCTCAAAAAAATGGTTTTTTTGTTTTTTTTTTATATATTTTGTTTCTTATAAATTTGTACAATTTTATCTTAGAATTTTTGCTTGCAATTTGCATTTTACCTAAGTGCAGCAGAAGAGCACACGTTCAACAGCCTTTTGCGCTTGATCCATAAGTCCTTCAATGTATAACATCAGAACAGAACGACCACGGTAGGCCACTTTTCTTGTCGCACTGTTCTCAAGATGCAATGGCAAATGTATCTGATGTTGTCGTCGTTGTCGGTGCCGTTGCCGGTGTCGTCGGTGTCGTTGTTAGCACTGTCGTTGATGTGGCAGTGTACGTTAACGTTTTCACTGACGCTGACGTTCTATCTAAATTTAATTTACTTGTAAGTTCAACAGTACAGAATAGACAAGCAAGGTTCGAGCACAAATATTCGGTTAAAAGGACAGACGTATAGAAGAGATAGATGTGCTCATATAGATTTAGACAAACTGGCGAAATAGAAAGGAGGCAGCAGCAGCAAGATGTACGCTCTCCTCACATATGCATTGCACTTTGCTAACAATACTAATACTTTGATGTGCTGCTGGTTGGCTGATTTTGTTAGCTTATTGTTGTTGCTATCTTTACTTCTTGAATATATTTTTAAACCGCTACGACGTATCTGCCAAGTGCCAAGTTCAATAGCTGTGCACAACGCGCGCTGATGCATTTGAAATGCTACGGCAATAATCATTTTAAAAATATGTATTATGTTTATATATACACTATATATGTGTATATAAATTTACACAATATATATATTAAAATATATATATATATATCTGCATTTAAAAAAGTTCAAAAAATATTCAAGTAAAAAATTACAAGCAATCAAAAAAGTTATACATTCACTCTTTTTTCGGTAAATGTAGGGAGTTTTATATTTAACAGATACCTCCTGCAGGGAAAATTGCGAGTTGAAAATTTTTAGATACACTAGTTTATATAAAAAAAAGAGTAAAATATGAAAAATAATAAAAAATTATGGTGTATAAAAATTGTTCAGTTTTAATTCTAATATTAAGGAAAATACATTCTATAAGCATTTGAAGTTGCTTTCTGTTGTTGGTTGCTGGTCCTGCTTCTTTCTTTCTGCACTTCAGGCATAACCAAAGGCTCTGGGGCATAGTCATAGTTAACAACTTAAAAATGTGTAATTGTCAAGAAAATAATTAAATTTTGATTATCGAATTCGTTCTCCTTCCGATGCTTTAGATGCGCTCATAATAAAAATGTCTTGCTAAGGAAAAATTAATGAATTAATGTTCGTGCATTTGCTCTCATTGGTTTGATAGCACTAATATTTTATACTTTATATGTTTTTATTCTATTTTGAAAGATATTTATGAGATATTTTTCTTTTTTTTTGTTGTATTTATACTCTTCAACAAATTCTATACTTTAAAATTTAATTTCAGTGTTCATAAAGATTGCATTTCAGCAAATACCTGTGCTAACATAATTTTTTTTATGGCTTATGAAGTATTTAAAATTATTTATTGAGACATTCCCATTAAAAATAGTTTAAAATATTTTAACATTATTATTATATATATTTAACTACCTTTTTAAAAATTAATTTTATGCTTAGTTTCAAGTTCATTGAGTCTCTGAATAGTGTTTATAATTTGAATAGTGTATATAAGACCTTAAAATGATAATAAATATTTGTGTTATATTTGTAAGAAGAGCTATTCATATCTTAAATTTGTTAAAATATTATATATAATATTTTTTAGATATTACTTAATATTAAAAGTGATTTTGAATTTTATTCATGAGATAATAAAATTTACTTTTATATGTTGTAAAAGCAAAAAACAGGGAAGTATGGAAGACTGTTGTTAAACAGGCTTACATCCTACATGAACTGTATAGTCACGGATGATGATGTATATGTTGCAATATAAAAAATTCTATTATGACCTTTGCAGGCTGTTATGTTCTGCCTATATTTCTATAAATATATATTTATACAGAAGAAAAATTTTATATATTCTTTAAAACCGAAAGTGCTGAAGTCTAGTATTTTTTCCAAATATCTCACAATTTTTGGTATTTAAATTTGTGAATTTATGTTGTGAATTTTTATTATCTAAATTGCAAATAATTTTATTTAAGCAAAACAAAAGGTCAGTAATTATCTATACACAATTGTATAGTAAATACAATAAAATATTTTAAATGTTAGAAAGATAGAGAATAAGGAATAAAATCACATATGTTTATTGAGATATACAATGAATAACAAATAAGTAAAAATAAGAACCACTAATAATAAAAATTAGAAAAAAGTAGGACCAGTAATATAACTTATAAGAGAAAGAGAATTATTTGTGATAATTTATTTATCAAAGATCAGACTATGATGGTTATCGGCCTTTGATCACTTAGTGTGGTGCCGGGATTGTTGCCATTCTAAAAGAAAATCCATTGAATTGTGTTTTCCAAACTTACCACTCCGCTGTAACGGCGGAAGACACGTCTTACTAAAATAGTGAAATCGTTAAACGAACTATTGCTATATATTTAACTGGAAATCTTTTGTATAATCCTTAATAATTCAGTTCCGAGTGTATATATCATATTCGTGTATACGCAAATATGAATGATATTTAATATCAAGCTAATTAGAAAGCTACTTTATTATATGTATATAATTTAAATTATATAAAATATTTATAATAGCAACGAAGAAGTACTCGTGAGTGCAACTTGTAGTGTACAATTTAACACTTAATTAATTATTTTTAATTAAGTTTAACTTTTCAAACAAATTTAATTTATTTTCTTTGAACTCAAAGTCATATTCATATTTAGTAAATAATATTACTTTTCTATTTATTTCTATGTTCAGATTTTGATGAGTATTTAAAAGAATTCTATATATAGAAATCAGCTTTTAATAATTATTTTATTGTGGTGAAGCTTTTGATTAGTGACTGTAAAATGCTAATGAAATGTTTGCAGTCTAATTTTTTTAAGTAATTAGAAGTTTAAAGTTAAAGCAAATGTAATTAAATTTTTTTAAATAAAACCATTTAAACTTCCTTTCTTCCGCTGCTGCCACTCTGATAGTACTTTATTTCTATTATTTCTAATTTATAAACATTAAATTAATATAAACTTATTTTGTAATTTCTTTCTTTCTATCTGCTTCTCTTATCACTTTATTTTATTCCCTTTTCATACTAAATTTTTGCTAATATATGAACATATATATTTCTTGTATCTTTTATTTTATTATCTTTCCATTAAATAAAAAAGTATTCTAGCCCTCCTACTCTTAAAGAATTGACTTTTGTTTAATTTTTTGACTCTAATAGATATAGAAGCATCAGTGCCGGGCACTACCACGTGCTTAGGGAGTGCCCGGCACTGATGCACAAGCGGAAGAAATACCTTGGAGGTTATTTCATGGATCATAAAGATTCAAGACTAGAAAAGTTAGGCTCTATACTGTCGTTCATTAAAGAAATCGCACTTGGAGAAACACTCTAACCCGAGTAAGGAGCACAATAGAT